GGTAATAAGACAGAAAATCAACCAGTCACACCTGAACTGGTCTCTGGCTTCAGTCACACCAGCTCACCTTTATTAAGTGTAACTTCCATGACAATGCAGTCCTTCGGACCTGGACCAGGGCCTCTGCGTTCATCAGCTTCGTTGCAGCCTGATGGGACTGGTGTACTTCCACTGGTATGAGAGTTGGGTGAAGTGGAACGGCTGAGGAGGGTGGGGGTGGGGCATGGAGTCAGGCTGGGGCTGCGCAGCCGTGTTCTAATGGTCAGCGTTACAACACCTTTCTTAAGTTGCTGTTAATGAAAGTGGAAATAAAAACGTCTTTAGTGACAGTTACCCCCAAATGAAAGGTGTAATATTGTGATGTCAGAGTTTTCATGAACGCAGCTGAAGACAGGCCTGTGCTGACCTGTCAGCTCATTCCATCAACTACACAACAGTTACACTCTTTCATAAATTCAACACCATGTCACAAAGTTTGCAAATGTCAAAAATCAACAGTTTTAGTAACACATTGCATACTTTTAAAATGGGGTTTTAACAATAATCTAAAAATTAGACAAATCTTTTGTTTGCAACTTTATAAGAGGAAAAAACTACAGACAGGTTTTACAGACAGGCAGAGAGAGGGGCTCCTTATTATCATTAAGGGACGATGTCATGCAAATGAAGCACAGCAGCCTAACAACATGCACTAACATAAGAAAAAGCAAAAATCCCTCATTTAAACTTTGTCGTAAAGTTTGTGAAAATGCAGAGGAGGTTTTTATAATAGTGTTCTTTGTCAACGACTCTGCACTCTTAACAAATGTGAGCGAGTTAAAGCCACAGCGACAGGGCAGAGGACATTTGGGACGGGGTTTGAATTGTTCACCTGCTCTACTCACAGTCGCTTCGGTTCTGCTTTCGTTCACAGTATCCCAAAGTAACACTCGGGTATCTAGTCATTTTGAAGTTGTACACCACGATAACTGTGTACAGAAGCAATCTACACAAACTGCAATAGTTCAAGCAGGTTACAGCATAATGTCAGCAGCTGGATACAGACGTCAGTGGCATTGGTGTAATTACTCTCACCACCATCAGGAGGAGACAACAGTTCAAGTTTAACATTCTTCACATTGTTGATGAAATATAAACGCTGAAAGCCAACCTTGAAGATTTGGATGGCCTGTTGGTGTGTGAGTCCTTGCAGAGACTCTCCGTTCACCTCCAGAATCTCGTCTCCTGTGTGGGGAGGCATAAAACCACGTTAGTAGGCAATGATCTCTGCCACGTGCTGTCAAACCTTTCCTTCCAAGTCAGTAACACAGAACAGGAAGTAATACCCTCCTTCAGCCGTCCATCAGCTGCCGCAGCACCGTGGGGGAATATTGTCCTGACAAAGATGCCCATCTGACCACGTGCTGAGTCCTGCCCACCAACAATACTGAACCCAAGGCCCTGTGAGAGTTGGAGTCAAGGAACCAAGGGTTCAGTGTTATCATCCCAGCTCTTAGTAGGGACACATGACAGCGCACATTTAGAGGTTTCTTTTCTCCTTACATAGATATCAAGGTAGAAATTCTTACCAGATAGATTGAAAGTTGCAGTGAAACATCATTAACAAAGTAAAGTGTAAATGTAAAATGTTTAGTTGATAACAATGATGTAACACAGGTCAAAGGTCAGTCTCTGCTACAGGATGACAGTCGACTGCACAATGTGGGAAAAGCTTATGGAAGTAAACACAGTCAGAAGATCCTGCAGCCACATACTGCAAAGGGCCTTTGTGACAAAGCACTGCTCATGGTTTTGGCTGTGGGCTAAACGCTGCCACCTGCTGTCCAGCCACAGGCAGACTTCACAACTCCACAAGCGAGTACGGAACAGAAGGGTTGAAAGTGGAGATGAACCAAACAGAGAGCAGCAGGCCTGACAGCACTGTTGTACGGGTGTGACTCTGCTGTAGACGCGTCAAGCTACTAGATCAGTGTCACCAGCCCTGCCTCATATGAATTGGTACAACAGTGTCTCTAAGGTAAACGTACTTTTGCAAGCCTGCTGCAGTCTAAGATGGTCTGGGCTTGCATGTGCATGCCTGTCCTCTTGGACAATGATAGCCTCTTGGTCCAAGAGGACAGCAAAAAGAAGACACTAACCCCAAGTTGCTCTCTGTTGCATCCATGGGAGTGTGAATGTGTGTGACTGCTAGCTAGGAAGCATCAAAGAAAATGCTTGTGTGAATGGGTGAATGTGGCATGTTGTACAATGTGCTTTGATGTGTAAGAATCAGACAATCCAGCAACAACCAGAGAACCACAAAGGGCTTAAATACACAGAGGGCCAACAAGGGAAGTTGAAACACACAGGGAACACCGCTGGGAGGGATCAAACCTAATGAGACGGGCAGGAAGCAATACACTAAACACAGGACGTGAGACTTTCAAAGTAAAACAGGACGAAGACGGGGAACAGAGACAGAACTAAACATGATGATAGACATGATAGACACAGGGAGGCACAAACAGCAACAGACTGAATGAACAAGAACTCACAACCAGAAATACAAATGATTAAAGGAAGAATGAGGAAACTAAACAATGCTAAATGAGAACATAGGAAGGGTCATAGACCCAGGACCATGACACAGGCTAGAACTGCATTTTTGTGTCCTTTGTTTGTACTTTAGGAGATTTGTAGTAAAAATAACACATTTTGGCATCAACTTAAAGAACAGCAGATGTAAAATGTAAACGTGAGGTCAGTTTAAATGTGAAATGATATTAGAATGTGATATTTACAGTCCCCATATGCCAGCATCATGTCCTAAATGTTGCCAACAAAGGCAGCAGAATGTATATAGTACAGCTATAACACGTAGTTTTAAAGGTAAACGACTGCTACAGTCTGACAGTGCACAGTTCCTGGGTACAAGGTTTCTGTCAGTTTCCAACCAATAAATGATGAACCTTCAAGGTGGATGTCAGGCAAATTTGAACGGATTGTTAACATGATAAGTGAAGAAATGGACTGGCACTTACAGTTTCTAGTGTTTCTGAAAGCTGATCTATTATCAGCTTTCAAAATGCTGACACACGTTCTCCAGCTGCACTTACAAACTCACTTTAGTAGTTAGCGTAGTTCAGTTTGTCCAAGCTGTAACCGTGACAGCCTTGAGTGATCTGTGACACGACACATGATCAATGCTCAGCATCTAAAGCTTCATCCAGGTAACTGTTACACTGTAAACCTGAAGAAGTCAGCAGAACGTAAAACACCTGAGGTCACCGACTGCCTGAAGTTTTGTTTTTAAACTGATGAACTTAAAAGTAGAATTTTGTTTGACTGCAGACAAGTAGATGCACCTCCATATCTGAGAGGAAATTAGCTCACTAGTTGACTCTGTGTTAGAAACAAGAAATAAAAGATAAAAACCTAAATAATTTTTTAAGTTTTTCAAATATCATCTTTATGTTTCATAAAGATGTGACAGCAAACAAAACAACAACAATAATAATAACTGCAGCAAAATCTAAGTTTAAGAACTTGGGAGCAACTAATAAAAGACATAGAAATGTTACTTTTACCCCACTGCCTTAGATTAATTCAGGTATTCAGACTAAGGACATATTTTATGTTTGAGGACAAACGGACCCTGGGCGTAAAAGCTATTTGAGCTAGCTCTGAGACTGAGACATTTGTTATGTACATGTTTGCAGTGCTGGGAGGAGCTGCATCACCACCCACAGCTTTAGAAAGATGGACACTGAAGATTTTATTCTGAGCTGATTATAAATCAATGACCTAATCGCTGTTTCCGTCCTATACTGATGACTGAATCACCGTCAAAGTGCTCATGTTAAGTACACAAAGCAGCAAACTAATATCTAACTGTGATTTTATCCTGTGCATAAACTTCCACAAATCCGTTTGCTCCGAGTCAGAAACACATCCATCGTTTGTTGAAGGAAATCTGCCAGAGAGCAGGTTAAGGTTACAGTTACACTGGTAACTGACTGAGTTCAGGTCTCTTTCTGGAACAGTGAATCTGAGTTTCCTACATTTGGAACAGGACCCTGCACTATCTGGTTTATCCTGGTAACCTCAGGGTTAACCCTGGGTCTTCTCTAAGAAGAAGCTGATTTACTTCTTATTGGGATAAATCACCACGGTAACTTGTGCAGATTAGAGGCACAGACACAGAAAATCCCTCAGACCTCTCTGCAGGAGAATAGGAGGGTTTAAAGTTTTTAATTAGTGTCTGATGTATTTGTTTTAATTGATAAGCTTCAGCAATAAACACAGATTCTAAGAAACAGCTTTATTCCTTGGTTTTCAACAACAATTTATTGTTCTATACGAATGAATATAATGATCCTGAAACAGGATACCTATGCTACACCTGCTCATATCAAATGTGTAGATATATTTAATGCTTTTAAATCCTGAGACAGTACTCTGCAGCTAAGAGAAGAAAAACTGGGTTACTACGCAGCGAAAGGGTTACATGAAAGGATGTGGGACCTCTGGAGTCTTTGATACCCAACATCCAGACTGACGGTGAAACAAAGCTCCGTGTTCCAGCCTTCCATAGAAGGAACTGCTAATCCCAACTGGAGATTAGTGAGGTACAACACAAGTGCTACAGCAAAGGGGAACCAGGGCTTCAGGTCATCACTGTCACCTGTATTGGGTACCAAGCCCACGAGAGGTGCGTTGAGTGCAAGAGAAGCTGACCTGGTGAAGCTGGAAAACTAGACCACAGCCAGGGAGGGTCCAGGTTTCTGACTACCAAGACTACGTGAAGTCCCCTCTGAAGGTCTACAAGAAGAAGTGAATGCAACATTACAGGCAGTCCTTACTGGAGTTATCAGGGAAGCCAACAAGCTGATCTACAGCACAGCAGCAGGGATCACAAAGATGTTTGGCTTTGAGACGAACAGCAGCAAGGAGCAGTACCCTGGAGAAGGAGACTCGAGCTAGTCTAGAATGAAGTTAGCCAACTATCAGAGCTGCAGAAAGGTGTGGTAAAGAAAGAAGTAGAGCAGGCTGTCCATACCTGAGGCCTTGAAAACTGCCAAGTAAATGCTCAGAGCCTTAGACAGTAGCTTCAAGAGGTACACCAGAGAGTTACAATATGAGAACAGCCTCACATGAACTGGAGCCAGAGCAGATAGGAGAAGGATGCAACCATAACAGCAATGCTCAGTGGCCACTGGATCTAAGAGCAGATCAAACCTCCCTGAACAAGATCCAGTGACCATCACAGCGGTCCATCCAAGAACGGGTCTCCAGTATGAACAGTTGCACAGCTCCAGGCCCTGACATGGCTCACGCCTGCTGGTTGAAGTTGTCTGGCAGCACTCATATGAATGAGAAGGGTGACACCCCAGCTACCGATAGAACAGTCGTCTGGGACTGTAAGACCAGACTGACCAACCCGTGCACTACCTGGACTTTACAAGAGAGCCTGTAGCTCAATGCCCCACGCCTGGATCCTGGAATGCTGAGAACTATACAAGATCAACAGACCCTGAGAGCCTTCATCAGGAACTCAATGGGGATGTGGCGAACAACACTAGAGGCCAACTTCAAGCTCATATCTCACCACCAAGCGCGGGAGCTACCAAGGAGACGCTCCACCCCCACTGCTGTTCTGCATAGGCCTGACCCCCCTCAGTGAGATCATCAACAAGACTGCCTACAGATACCGACTACAGAACACAGCAGCTGTCAGCCACCTCCTGTACATGGATGACATCAAGCTGTATGCCAAGAGTGAACGAGACATCGATTCACTGATCCACACCACCAGGATATACAGCAATGACATCGGGATGTCGTTCGGACTGGAGAAGTGTAGTCGGATGATAACAAAGAGAGGGAAGGTAGTCCGAACTGAGAGGATCAACATTGCAGACATCGAGGGCAGCTACAAGTACCTGGGGACCCTACAGGTAAGTAGGAAAACCGAAGAGGCCACGAAGAAACCTGCAATCACCAAATACTTATATAAAGTAAGGCAAGTCCCGAGGAGTCCACTGAATGGTAAGAACCAGATAGAGGCGATCAGCATCTACTATTATAACCTGCTGGGATAATAAGCTGCCACTGGCATCAAGACAAGGAAGGTCTTTACTATGCATGGAGGGCTTCACACCAAATCCAGCACCCTGAGGCTGTACCTGAGAAAGAGGAGAAGCAACCATCATGGAAAGACAGGCCAAACTGGCCAAACAGGTCAAACTGGTCAACACGTCAAACATTCAAACAGGCAAAGATACTGCACAGCAGGACGCTCCCAGGCCTCTGGTAGAGGGCCGAGCTTGAAGGATAGACGAGGCGCAAGAGGGGAATTAATAAATATACATGTTTGTGTGTGTGTGTTCTACTTTGTATAGTCTACATATTTTCTTCATCTGTCTTTATAACATTATTGTTGTTCGTCTATGCTGCATCTATCCGTCTCCGTCCGCTCTGCTTTGGCTGTGGGAGCCACACTGTAATGTTTAGTAAGGAAACCCTTTCATTCTTTACATCATTAAGAGGAAACACAGCACAAGCATTAACAGCAGAGAGATGGGTCTTTTCAGAGGCTCAAAGCTTCATTCATGTACACCAAGTGAGTGCACTTACCTTGCCCTGACCTTTCATTAATACGATACTGGAGATAATGGACGGCTGTGAGAGTCGCCATGGAGATTCCACTTGAACAGTGCTCAGGGAGCGAGCTGATTTCTTAATGATCTGATATTCCTGGAAATTGAATGAAGCAAAACAAAGTCTGACAAATAAATTTCCAAACAGTTATTTCCATAGAGATGAGACCTTCTTTCACTTAGTCTCTGACATAATTTGCATTTTCACACAAAATACCTTTTTTCCTGTGACATGTTACAGGTCTATGCTAATCTACATCTAGCTACACAACATTAAGAGTCTATCGTTCTGATTTATTTTTCCCAGTTAAGCGCTCACGCCATTTTTCATCCAACACTGGGAGAAAGAACCGGTGACACTGACTGACCTGTCTCACTCCAGACGGGTCCAGCTGCTGAGGTAGGGAGTGTTTACGTCGGCCAGGCTTCTCCACCATTTCAAAGGAGCTCGTCCCATTAGCCACAAACAGTTCATCATCCTCACCCACTGATTCCAGGCGAGTGCTCCCTCCTGGGTCGAGAGAAACATTTCAAATCTTACCATGAAGATGAACCAGCTATGGTTATGTCAAACAGAGGTGCACAGTTTCCTTTGTAACAGCCATGTTGTTGTTACTGAACAGTGTGTTTCTGTGAAACACTAACCCTGGGGGCGGCTGCACAGCTTCGTGGCTGTGGGGCTGCAGCAGGATCTTTGGGCTGTTTCCTCCTGACTTTGCTCTTCTAATTTCTCCAGGCTATCAACCTGCAAGGACACGCACACTCTCTTTGTAAGCAGCTATGAACACCTGACACTCCTTTGTGTACCAAAGAACACACAACAAATATTTGTTCAGACAGTAAAATACATTTTACTGATGTGCCAAAAAACTAAAGCTATTTCTGTGTTTCTGTTATTAGACTGTGGGACAGTAACACTCGACGCTCTAACTCTTCAGTTCAAAGGTTTAACACTGTAAAGTGCAGCCGTCACCACAGATATTAAAAGCAGCACCGAGCGCACTCACTGCGTGCTAAATCACCACGTTAATGATTTTTCTGCGACACTAATTTCATCTTTTTTGCAGCGGTGTTTAAGTTTACTGTTATATTTGGGGTTTTACTTCTCAAGGTCCTGATTTAATTCAGTTCAATTTTGACTCAGACAGAAATATTATAATTATGATCGTGCATCGTGGACATGTCGAAAGAACCTCTCTAAACCACAGCTGTCAAACTCCAGTCCTCGAGGCTGCTCTGAAACTTTTCCATCTGTTCCTGCTGCAACACACCTGAAGACAATTAGCAGGTCATTAGCACGACTCAGTACTGACTGCATGCTGAACCCCTGACCCTACATGCAAGTGTTGGGAGAAATTATATCATGTTCATCCACTCATGAGCTGCTGTAACATTTGACTCTGGTAGCATTGACTACTGGAGTCACTACTAACTGACTCAGTGACATTCAAATTAATTTAGAAGTTTCACATCATGTGTCTTCCTGGATTTTGGTTGATATTCTCCCTCACAGTGAAAATGAAGCTACCATAAAACTTTTTATTCTAAGTGAGCAAACTTTCAAAGTCAGCAAGAGGTCAAAAAACGACTTGTCTCACTTTACATATTATGTTTGTACCATGTAGGACTTGTGCAGACTGGTGCTACTGTTGGAAGTCTTGGTGTGAGCAGCCTGGGACAGGGAGGAAGTGGAGCTGCAGGTGCTGACAAGGTCTGGCAGACTGGTGGATGGAAAAGGATCAAAGCCTACATCTGAATCCTCCTGCAAGGACAACAATGGATGTGTACATGCAAACCATATATTTTACAGAACCTTCAAAAATGCAGCCTACCACTGTCATACTAGTTTAAGGAGCTTGGAAAGAAAAGTGTCTGGACTTCCTTAAGTTGCTTGAAGACGTTTCACCTCTCACATCCGAGAAGCTTCTTCAGGGTCATTACGGGGTCCGTGTCCCTCTTGGGGAGGGACACTCCCACAGGGCTTAAATCTGGGACCCTGAAATTTCCTTTTCCCTTTCAGATTTCCTTACCTGGATGATTGAGCATGCATCAAGACATTTTAACCCACATTGGCAAGGACTGCCTAAAGCTAGTACATAAGTACAAACAAACAGCACGTAGGATGGCTGATTTCCTCCAGAAATGGAGGATCGTGTGCCTGGCTGGACTGTCGATCGAGGATGCTGAAGATATCTACCTATTCGGAACCATGATAACAGGGTTCTTGCTGATCGGAGCTGGCTTGGCCCTG